TCCTGCTGATTTGCAGAGGATGAGGAAGACTGTGCTGTGTCTGTCATAGATCAGGAGGGATAAAACTTGTCCTTCTGGGCCATCAAAGCTTCTACTTGTTAATTTGGCTCTGGGACATGTGAAAAAATCCATGGTGCTGACAAACACGGTGACTAAGCACACAAGTAACTTTACTCAAGGACTGCACTTTTGCATCTTTGGAGAACAAATGAGAAAGTTGTGGTGTTGCTTCAACTAATTTTTTTAAATCGTGCCCAGCAGTTGATGCAGTTCTTAATAGCATTTGTTTCTGCCTCTTCATGCACTGCAAGAAATTGATAATCATCTGGTACTGCTGAGCATTGTCGCTGGCAACATTTGAAACTCCAGACATGGTGATGAATTGCACTATGATATATTAATGTTATTTTGATCCCTGCTCTTTCAGAATTACATTGATCCAATTAGGTTAAGTAGCTTGCCATCTAAATTAATTTACTTTCCTCTATTAATCTCCTTTACAGGGGGTCAAAAACAGAAATGTAAATCAATCTATTACATAGCGTATCTTTTTGGAGGAGGTAATTAAATTACCTAAATAGCTACATATGTTGAATTTGTTGTTTAGCATGTTAAACAGTATTGCCATAATTGGAAAGCGAAGCGGTGCACACTCAGTTGTGGAATGTGAGTGCTTGTTACACTTAGTTTTTATAACCTTCCAAGAAATGCCTTTACATGACTTGCTGTCTCTGGATACTAATGCTGCGTGTGTATTTGGCTATGCAGCTTTTAAAGGTATTAGACATTTTGCAAGTGGAGATAACAGCTTCTTTCTCTGACAGAAATTGTTGGACTCCCTGGTGACATGTCTTGTAGACATCCCCAGCCTCTCCAGCACGGAGGAAACCTTTCTTCTGGCTTGCTCTCACACTAGCACTAGTACATGGCAGGAAAACAGATGTCTTAGCAATGATGTCTCAGTTACTAAACTCAAGGAGTATTAATGCAGACTCCTGAAAAAATTTCTCGTGTTCTTAAAACAGTCCTTCAGTGGTACATGAAATTTCCATAATTTGAAAACCTACTTTGGCTTCTACATTGGGACATACTTTTTATTTTATTAAGTTAGTCCAATAGTGGGACTCAATCATCTCGGTGCCCTTGCCAGTCTTTTACTACTCACACTGGGAATTCTGGTTTTCAGCCAGTATTTTCATCAGGGTGGATAGCAAACTTACATCCTGATGAGACATGCCTGACAGGGATATTGAAGACAGCTACACCAGGAATTTGTTTACCTGCTGTATTTCCTCACTTTAGTAAGTAGAGTTGTCCGTGAAAAACTCCAATGAAAATGAAGCATTGATGCAAGGGAATGAGATCCAGTAGCTGGAAACACGTTGACACAGCCAAGCTAGATACAAAGTGCAGTGTTTTTACACTGAGCTTAATTAACTGTTAAAAACTTACCAGGCTTATCATAGCTTCCTCATCATGAGAGATCTCGACAAGGGCTCTATACAATAAGAAAATGGATCTGGTTCCATCACAGTCATACTACTAGAAGATGAATTCAAGTCAAATGACCTATGTAATGGGGCAGGCCAGATTGCTGATCGCAGCGCTCCCTTCTGGTATTAAAATCTATGAATCTATGAAATATTTTCTAAATCTGTGCCTGAGGGTTGAATGAACAGAAGCAGAAAGGTCACCTTTATCATCACTGCTGTCAAACACTTCGGAAACAGCAGAGCACGGAGCCAGTGTATTGCTCAATCACTTTGCCCTTATGCTACATCTGTTACTCTATCAATGCCTGTATTTTGTCCATTAAATAAAAATCGCTCTGGTATCCTTTACGAAATCCCATTTCCAAAAAGTGCACAGGAGAACTCCGTTGGCTTCAACAGCAATGGGATCTTACCTTTTGCCTTTACAAAGGTAATGAATGTCTGCTAAGTGCAGAACTTAGCGGTGTTTTTTTATAAATAATAATGATAGTTAAGAAAGCAGCTGCTCTCTGCCATAATGAGACAGCAGGAAACGTAGATACAGCACACTGTTTCAGGCCGGCCTCCCAGAGGCTGCAGGCGCAAGGGGTGAGATAAACGTAGGTGTCAAGTGCCGTCCAAGAGGCCACGGGGCGTTTGAGGTGTCCCTGTGGAGCTGGTTGGTGAAATGTGTATCTAAATCACTGCTAGATGCTTGGTTGGCATCAATCCTGCTCTAGGTGTTGGTGGATGGCCGACATCCAGAGCAGTTCCGGTACAAGCCACCAAACGCTGCAGTGTTTTAACATTCGGTATCTATTAATATGCTAATATTTCCCACAAGCTGAAAAACGTTAAATGAGGATCTGTGCTTGAATACTCATTGTGTTGGGGCTTTGCTACGTTCATCATTTTACATTGCCATTGCCTTCTTTTTATTTCCTTTTTTTTTTGGTCTTTTTTCATTCAGTGTTTTTGTTTCTTCTGCCTTAAGACAGAGGCTTTTAAAGATGGGTTTTCTCTCTAATAAGTGTGTGTACAGTTCCTAGTACAACCACGTCCTGATCATGATTGAGCCATCTGATATTAATGTAATGCACAAATGAGTGCATCGGAACATTAAATGTTTGCTCGTATTTTACTTTTAATGTTTATGCAAAGTGCAAGAATTGTGTACTGAGACTGTGTACTAGTTCACACTAGTATATATCCAGGAGTGCAGCATTAAACAGCTTTAAATAAAAGAAAGGGCCTGGTTTGTTCAAATGGACAACCCGAGCGAGAAACGCTTCATTGTGAAACCCAATGCCAAAGATTTTCAATAGTCCAAACTCTCCGGTTTTTGGAAGGTGATGGTGGCATATTTCTTTGGTTTCTTCTATATTGTGCTTTGGCATTTCACTAGAGTGTTTGTCAAAACTGAAGCATGCTTGTGTTGAGGTACCTAGCTTACCACCTATGTTAGGAGTAAGTGTGAATACGTGTCCTTCCTTCTGGCCTTGTTAGAAATGCTCTCTAGATAAGGAGTTGAAAAGCAGATCGGTAGTAATACTT